TTTTTCTCCAAAGGGGGGGCCTGACAGAAAAACTTTGAGAACCACTGCTATAAACAGACATTCTGTTTCAAATTAAAGGTTTCTTAAAACAGGTAGTCATACAATAACGTTGCCTTAATAGAATCAGATAAATGAATCACTGTACTGCAGGTGTTTCATCTGTAAAACCAGAGTGGGTTAAATATTTGGAGAAATACACTTTTTTCCCCCTTTATTGGCTAGAATTATAAGATTGAATCCATCGTAGTATATGTACATTAAATACGAAACCAGAGGCTGAAGCTGGTTAATCTTAGAATAAAGATTCTAAAAGACAGTTAACAGCTAGCATTGTTTTGGTAAAATTATGATATGATATAAATCAGTTAAAATCTTAACAAATAAGCAACTATGAGTTTGACTGGGTATTGACTGCCAACTGTCAGATATTTCAATACAGAGTGTTCGTCAGTGTATGGAGTTAATAATGCCCAGCTCTATTTGCAGCTCCATTTGACACCAGAAACAACCACCTCCGACATGCCACATTGGACCCTCCGCATTGCAACATTCCCATATTCATCAACTTCAGGGATTCAATACTGTTGTCAACAACGCTGGGTGGTCATAGATGCTTTGTCATGACAAAAACAAAGCATCAACTTAACAGGAGAAGAACAAAAAGAAAATCTGCAGTAATTGGAATCCTTGTTCCTAATCTGTCCTATCCAGGAGTGGAGACACAAGAAAAGCATCAATCATGGCACCTTCAGCAGCTCTCGGGGCTGAAATGTGCTCGCTTTGACCTTTTTGTCGGCACTCATTCATCCTGAGGACAAGGCAGCATCTATGCCACAGTGTTTGAGCTGCAAGCCAACATTACGGAAACTTCAAAGCCTCTTGCCCCCACCTCAACGCTTGTTATTCCTCCTTCCCCAGAGAGGATTTGCTCCTGCATCAGACAAGGGATGGGGAGAGGATGAAACGGAGGAGACTGGCGCTACCTGACAGATTTCTGGAAAGTGAATTCCTTCCTCAGAGGGGAACGTCTAGAAATCGAAATTCCTTAAGACTTAATTCTTGAAAAACAGTTCTCTTTGTAAACTGGTGCGGTTCACTCTAACACAGAAACAACATTGTGAATAAAACATCCTGTCGACTTCAAAAGCGGCTTTCCTAACGACATTAAAAACCGGCATTACTCTCAAATACCTGAACAGAGCCAGAAAGTCTGTTAGCCCCGAGGGGCTCACAGGGCTATGTCCCCAAACATTCCCAGGGGGTCCAGTATGTGTTGGTGTGTGTATGTGTGTGTGCAGAGCCATGAGTTGTAGGGACAGGGTTGTAGGGACAGGCGTGTGTTTGGACAGGGTCTCCCTCTCAGGGGATTAGGCAGCCTAAGGACTGTGGTAAGGAAAAGAAAACATCACATGCCAGGCTGCCTGCTGCACAAACAGTAGTAGAGAGTGGTGGCATGTGACCACGCAGAGAGAGAGCGAGTGTCATTTTGTCTGGGACCACTGTAGCATTAAGGTGAAACAAGAATTGGCTAAAAGTCAAGTCTGTTAAGTAAGAAATTCTTTACGGTGTGTTTCCTTTACAAAACACAAATCAGTTATTAAGAGGAATGACGAGTAATTGTATAGCCCAAAATCCCATATTTAAGGGTTTTACAACGTGCTCTGATGAAGCCCAAAACTAAAACAGTAAAACAGCTCCCAATATCACTTTAATGTTGGTGATAAAGGTATTAGTATTTGACAGACAACAAAAGTAGTAGAAAAACAGAAGTTTAATCAGATGGAAAATTGTTACATTCAGTGTTTCCCATACATTGATTTATTTTTGGCGGGCCGCCACAAATAAATATCGTCCGCCACAAATGGATCTCATAAAAAAAAAAATTATCATTATTTATTTATTTTTTGGTAATCTAATGGATAGTGAAGTGGGCTGATGATCGGAAGGTTGCGAGTTCAGATCCTGCCTGGAACACCACTACTAGTGTGCCCGTAAGGCACTTAGCCCTCGGTTACTCCAGGGAGAATGTCCTTGTAATTGGTCATTGTAAATCGCTTTGGAATAAGGCGTCTGCTAAATGCCTGTTGCAAATGTATTATCTTTTCAATTTACACACGGCATCTATTGCACGTCTGTCCGTCCTGTGAGAGGGATCCCTCCTCTGTTGCTCTCCCTGAAGTTTCTCCCATTTTTCCCTTTAAACTGTGGGTTTTCTCTGGAAGTTTTTCCTTGTACGATGTGAGGGTCTAAGGACAGAGGGTGTCGTATTGTCATACTGATATTCTGTACAAACTGTGAAGTCCACTGAGACAAATGTAACATTTGTGATATTGGGCTATATAAATAAACATTGATTGATTGATTGATTGACTGAATTGTAAATGATATTTTTGGGAGAATAAACCCCAGATCCTCAACTCCGGTGTGTTTCACTCATTAACAACGCAACACAGAGCAACAAGATCGTTGTCTACAGTAGCCATGAACTCACATGTATTATCTTATTTGAAGGGGGGGGATGGATGCATGGACCACCCGAATA